TTATATTATGCCGATAAATATCACTAAATTAATGATAAAATGCACTCATTCTCCAATTGTACGGTAGTTATTTTTGACCGCTTTATGGCTGGTTGCGTTGTAAACAAACTCAGAATATTTTTTTAAAGCTATAATCACTGCGCAATTAATTGCGTAATTTTTTATTATGATGATTAAATGCCATATTTTTTTATTTTAATACTTTAAGAAAAAAAACCCTTGTAAAATATTAATTAATTAACTTTTTTATACATCGGTCAACTAATTGGTGACCGGTCAACAACTGGTGCATTTACCCTATTTCATAATTATTTTTAATTTTTTAAATAAATTTTTTTTCGCCTAATATGGGAATCCTATCCTGGATTCCTATATAGGAAACCATATGGGAATCTATCCGAAAACGCCATGTGGAAATCCAGGCTGGTTCCCCATATGGATTTTTTCGATAGTCGATAGGATAATCTTTAAAATTTGTATATTCGTGATCGGAAACTAATCAATAACGTGATTGCATTTAAGGACTCAATTGTGGATAAATCACTCCGGAGAATGTGTATATGGATTTAGGAGTCTCAAAACACGCGCGATGTTACGTTAACCCCGAGATTGCATATTGCACACAACAGTTGCGACAGACATGCCGTGATCTGGTTAAATTTGTCTAAAATTATCTTTGTTGTTTACAAAACATTTTTATATAAAACTTCCTGGATTTTTTATCTACAATTCAATCTTTAAAGCATACTATGCTTTCAATTTCTAATTCTTGTCATTGATTCTTGTTCTAAAACTTCTTCCATACTTTTGAATATTAATGCTTGGAGAAAGCAATCAAAGGGAAATATAAATAGGTGATAAATAAAGACATTTATTTGTGGCAAACACGAATGAAGGTATGTGTTAGAGTTAGAGTCAAGGCTAATTCGTTGTTGGAAGGAAATTTTGTTGCTCAGTCATAGATAGACATGACTATCTAGTACATTAAAACTCCATACGAAGGATAAACCAAGTTAGCTTTGTAATCGCGTGTCTCGGGGAGTTTATGTACGTGCCTTCAGTCAGCACCCTCCTCTTTCATTGGGTGCTCTCTATTCCCGATTCTAACATGATCAAACCCCCTAACACACAATATCACGAATAGCACATTCGTGACTGTCGATTTTTTGTTTTTATCGTATCGGTACTAGAAAAATCGAGAGCCAATAGTCATTCAGGTCACAGTTGCTAAGAGTTTACTCTACATTGATAGAAGGATTTGGTTCTATTTAATGAGATTTAGTAATAGTTACTAAACAATTTATTAAAGCTCATTCATTTCTACCAAATAAATATTTAGTAGTATTTAACAAATGATTTATTGGTAATGAAGAAATTCATTTTTTAACTAATTTTACCGTATAATCTAATTTTTTAATTCGAAATTAGTAATATTGCAGTCACTATGTGACTGCCGTGACTTGTGAACTATAAATAAATAAAATTTTGCTTTATTAAATAATGACATTTGTTAAATTGCACTGTACTTTATTAAATATTGACGTTTTTAAAGATATAGGTAAGCTCATCCCGACATTACACTAATCAAGAGCTTTCATTTATGTACCCACATATATTTTTGATATATTTTTCATATATACAAATATATAAAATATATGAAAAATTGATGTAGGTGCTCAAATGAAAGCTCTTGATGAGTGTAATGCCAGGGTGAGCTTATATCTTGAAAAATGTCGTTAATTGAGAAATTACATTGTATTTTATCAACTTATGATATTTTTAAAGATATAAAGTCATCTTGATGTTACACTCATCAAGTACTTTCATTTGAATACCCACATGCATTTTTATATATATATATTTCATATATATGATTATTTAATATATATAAATATATAAAATATATGAAAAATCGATGTGGGTATTCAAATGAAAGGTCTTGATGAGTGTAATGCCAGGGTGAGCTTATATCTTTAAAAATCTCAATAATTTAGAAACTATATAGTATATTTTGTAAACTTATGATATTTTTAAAGATATAAGCTCATCATGGTCTTACACTCATCAAGACCTTTCATTTGAGTACCCACTTGTATTTTTGATATATTTTTCATACATACAAACATATAATATATATAAATATCTAAAATATATGAAAAATTGATGTGGGTATTCAAATGAAAGGTCTTGATGAGTGTAATACCAGAGTGAGCTTATATCTTTAAGTTACTAAATCAGTTTATTGAATCCTTCTATCAGTGCTTTATCTACAAAGCTTACTTCTGTTCCGTCGTCAAAAAAGCTATTATGTAAAAACGCACTTAGTAATTTTTGAAGGTAATCACGGCAGTAGACCAAATGTACCACTATCTACACTTACGACGACTATTAGGAGGTACATTCCGTGATTAATTAAGTCGTTAAAGTAAGCTTAATTAGAAACCTAAATTGGAGTAATCACGCATTGGACACATTCGTAGAAATTGGATTTATAATTCGTGGTAGTAAAGATTGAAGAAAGCTAATGCCTTTGGTACGCAACAGGTCAATGCCGGGCAAGTCAAGTCAGCGGTCAAGGAAAATCAATTTATAAGTTTGTAGTAAAGTTCTTGTTGGTAAATTATGGACGATCAGCCGGCCAGGGGACTACCGGTAAGCTTTACTAATCCGAATAACAAATAGGGTACTACTGTTTAGGGATTAGAATGTTGCTAGGTGATTTAGAAATTGATTTTTTCTCGTGGCAGGTACCGTCTTTCACGATAATCGATCTATGACTAAAACTACACAGATAAATAGGTTCACTTGAGCCAAGAAAATATTTTTCTTCCTAATTATTTTCTTAGTGAAAAAAATTTTTTTTTGACAAGAAATTTAACTTATTCCAACAAAATTAATTCTCTTGCTTTAAGAAATACGTATTATCTTGATCCAAGAAAATGTATTTAAGTCAAGAAAATCTTGTTGTTTTGAGAAAATTCAGCCTCGAGCTCCAAAAAATTTTGTTCTTGATAGAAGTTAATTTTCTTGTCTTGAGAAAATTTCTCTCTTGCTCCAAAAAATTAAATATAAAGATAGAAGTTAATTTTGATTAATATTTTTATTGATGAAAATGTCGAATGGCAAGATCAAATAATATTTCATAATTTTTTTTCATTCAATATGTATAATTGCACGGTAAAATAATATAAAAAGGGTATCAAATATTCTCGAGAAAAATTTTCTCAAGGTGAGAAAATTTTTTTCTCAGCTGAAGTAGGTGGCGCTGTTTCCCTAAAGTATCGAAAAATCTTGATCAAATATAAAAATTTATTGTAAGGTAAAGTACCCAGTACTTGAACACTTCTAAAAATGGGACCAGTAGTTGAACAGACTTTTAAAATTGCTGTAATACAAAATCTGTATATATATATTGTGAGTCATATGCACACTTTATAATTATTCAATGATACAGTAATTGATTTTGGTAAGTTTTTTCAATTATAAATCAAAACAATTACATTTTTGTTAATTTTAAAGTTGACATGTCAAGAGTCGCCGATAGATGCTATTTTTTTCATGAAAAAGGTACTAAACCGTAAACCGAACAATCAGTAAAAAAAACGGTGTATCATCATTTTAAGTGAAAAAAATTGTACCACCCAATCAAATAGTCTTTTCTAAATAATACATATTTTTTTGCAAAGACATAAACTATAATTTTTATATTAAATTTTAGCGTTCAACTATACCTCCCAATTTTCAAAGCGGTACCCAGAACTTCAACAAGCTTAGACCGTATAATTTTAACAGCACTCTTACCTTCAATAGGTTTATAGACTAGTGATCAGTATTGTGATTTGTATTAATTACTGCAAATTAAATAAGTTTTATAACTAAAAATTAGTATAGTTAAAAATTATTGAACGTTTTGAATTGAGTTTTTTTGATTTATAATTGACAAATTTACTTTGTCATTCATAAAAAATGTAATTAAAAAATCAAATACAAATTTTTCTCATTTTTAAATGAACATATTAAATATTCACAGTGTTATTTTTAATATTATTCAATAATATGTTATAAATCTTTGAATATTTCAACTAAACGTTAAAAATTTTTGGTGTGCCTATCGCCATATATTTTATTAGTTCAACTACTGCTCCCGGAGTGTTCAACTACTGCGGCTTGTCAGAATTGATTGTTCAACTACTACTCCTTTCATAGTCTATCTTAAAAACGTTGTCAAATTATAAATATTTAATTATTTGCGTTATTTTGCACTTCAATCAATTCAAAATTGTTTATATTTTCATGAAAATCACTAATTTGAGCTAATAATTACATATTTATATATTAAAAGTAGAGTCAAGTACGTTTTACTTTGAAACCTGTTCAACTACTGGGTACTTTACCTTATCAAATATTCATGATAAGAAAAAAAAAACTTCTACCAAGAATAGAATTTAAAGAAAAATTTTAACTTCAGCCAACACAACTTCGTTCTTTCTTCAAGCACCCGACAAATTTTCTTGAGCCAAGAATTTTGTTCTCCAGTCAACAAATTTTTCTTACTGTCTAAATTCTCCCAATTAGATAATAAGCACAAAATTTTTTCAATAAAATAAATTTTCTAGCTCCAAGTAAATCAACAAAGACCAGCGTCACTTTCACCGCGATTCCCGTCAAACGAAAGCGGACCTCGTCTAGGCCAGCCTCCACCGAGTCTCCACAGACTAGACAGCCGCAGTTCTTTATCACCACAATTTCCACCTCGACAATTTCCACCGCGGCCTCAAAATCCGCCTGGTAGCTTTCCACGTCCTCCTCCGGGAATTCCCGGCCGATTTCCTCTTCCAGGTTCCATTAGACCCTATCCAGCTCAGCGAGCGCCTTTCAATCCTCAAGTACAAGCTTCAAACCAAATCCGCCAGAGGCCACCACTAGAATCTTCCAACTTGCGCTTCGCTCCGCCAAGAATAGTGACCAATAATGAAGGCTTGAAGACACCGAGAGACAAAATGGAGGACGAAAAGAGACCAATGTCTCGCGCTGGAGAGGATGACGATGACGATGACGTCGTTATGGACGACAAGGAGTCTGTCGGATCTACTTCGGAGCCTCTTGCTTCCAAAAATGAGAGTCTTAATCCTGGAAGTAAGCCTTCAACTCCTGTTCCAAGCCCTAGTCCTAAAGCTCTAATTGGACTAAGCCTTGGACCAAGTCCTAGTCCAATTACAAAGACTCCAACACCAACAGCAAGTCCTAGTCCAATTCCAAAGACTCCTACACCAACAGCATGTCCAAAAACTGAACCTCCAAGCCCAAAAGTAGGAACTCCAGTACAGAGTTCTAGTCCAAAAGCTACTACTCCGGTTAAAACTCCAAGTCCTAAGGCTACTACACCAGTACCTCCTAGTCCTAAGGCTGCAACTCCAGTATCTAAAGCTCCAACACCTGTTCCAAGTCCTAGTCCTAAAGCTGAGACTCCAATACAGAGCCCAAGTCCAAAAGATTCAATAGCAAGTCCAAAAGATCCAATAGCAAGTCCAAAAATAGGAACTCCAGTACAGAGTCCTAGTCCTAGTCCTAAAGCTATGACTCCTGTTCCTAGTCCTAGTCCTAAAGCTATGACTCCTGTTCCAAGTCCTAGTCCTAAAGCTACAACACCAGTACCTCCTAGTCCAAAAGCAGTGACTCCTGTTCCAAAAACTCCAACACCAGTAGCAACTCCTGCTCCAAGTCCTGGTCCAAAAACTCCAACTTCAACACCAAGTCCTAGTCCAAAAGCAGTTACTCCAAGTCCCAGTCCAATTCCAGCAACAGAGGACTTGAAAAGCGACCAAGAAGAGCAATCCAGAGCCTCTTCTAGGTCAGCTAAATCTCCTACCAAGTCTCCAAACTTATTAGAGCCAGGATCCAGGTCTGTTACTCCAAGCCCTGAGATCAAAGGATTTGACAATGGAAAACCTAGACCACTTACTCCTTCAGTTCCTGCTAGTCCTTCACCAAAACCTCCAGAGTCTCCGGTTCTATCGTCACCCAAGACACCCAGTACTCCTGTAGCGGCTTCTGCGAAGAAGCCGCCAGCCACACCGAAAATTCCCGGAACTCCTAAAGAGGAGAAGAAGAAGACTACTTTTGCGGAAGATACTATAGATGATGAAGGGAACAGTGGGAAAGCTACGAGAGCTGGAACTCCAGCTGTTCTCGACAAGCCTGATCCTCCTGATGCTAAATCTATGAAGCGGTCTCCTTCTGGACGATCTATCAAATCAGGTTCTATGAATACTTTTTAGAGAAATTTTGTTTGTTAGATAGTTTAATGTCTGTGGAAATTTGGTTGTTTGATTGTGGTTATTTTGGTGGAATTTTATTGACTGGGTTGCTTTTTTTTCTAGAAGCTGCAAGCGAAAATGGAGCTACGGGAAATGGAGTAAGTATTTTTAATGGTGTTATTTGTTGGGGAGTTTCTATTTTTTGGTTTTGATGTTAAAGCAACCCTCGACGAATGGAGTAGCAGTCTCGCCGACGAAAAAAGTACCGGCAAAACCAAAAACTGTTGGCTCGCCTATTAAATCACCGAGTAAATCTATCAAGTCGCTACCGAGGACTCCGGAAGCTGGACCTCCGTCGACTACCGAGAAAAAAAGTAAGGGAAAGTAGTCAAATTTTTAAAACTTCCGGAAAACTTGTTAATTCAATCTACGGAGAATAATTAATAAGAAAATTAAAAAAACAGTAGGTTTGAGGGATATTTAATCAAATAATTAGGTTTAAAATTGTAATTTTTACATGTGAGTGGAGATTCCACCAGCTGTGAATTTGGTTAAGAATTTAATGCAATTAACGATTTTAACAAAATTTTATTTTCATTGAATTTGATTGAAAAAATAATAAGCTTTTGATTAAAACAATAAAAAAGTAGCTTTCCGAACGGACTACGGAGATATTTTATATTTTGTATGAAAATCCACTCGGAACTTGCGTTCGTTAAAGTCTTGCATTTGACTTGGCAACACCGCTTGCGCAGTTACTCAAAGCATAAGTAACCGCGGTTTTTTAGATGCTAAGGTAAAGTACCCAGTACTTGAACACTTCTAAAAATGGGACCAGTAGTTGAACAGATTTTTAGAATTGCTGTAATACAAAATCTGTATATATATTATGAGTAATATGCGCATGTTATAATTATTCAATGATACAGTAATTGATTTTGGTAAGTTTTTTCAATTATAAATCAAAACAATTACATTTTTGTTAACTTTAAAGTTGACATGTCGAGAATCGCCGATAGATGCTGTTTTTTTCATGAAAAAGGTACTAAACCGTAAACCGAACAATCAATAAAAAAAAACGGTATATCATCATTTTAAGTGAAAAAAATTGTACCACCCAACGAAATAGTCTTTTCTAAATAATACATATTTTTTGCAAAAGAGGCCGGCAATGGCTCGGTAAAGGGGCATAAGAAGCCTATACACTAGCAACAAAATATAAAAAAAAAAAAAAAAATACATATTTTTTGCAAAGACATAAACTATAATTTTTATATTAAATTTTAACGTTCAACTATACCTCCCAATTTTCAAAGCGGTACCCAAAACTTGAACAAGCTGGGACCGTACAATTTTAACAGCACTCTAACCTTTAATAGGTTTATAGACTAGTGATCAGTATTGTGATTTGTATCAATTACTGCAAATTAAATAAGTTTTATAACTAAAAATTAGTATAGTTAAAAACTATTGAACGTTTGGAATTGAGTTTTTTTGATTTATAATTGAAAACTTACTTTGTCATTCAAAAAAAATGTAATTAAAAAATTAAATACAAATATTTCTCATTTTTAAATCAACATATTAAATATCCACAGTATTATTTTTAGTATTATTCAATAATATGTTATAAATCTTTGAATACTTCAATAAAACGTTAAAAATTTTTGGTAAGCCTATTGCCATATATTTTATTAGTTCAACTACAGTTCCCAGAGTGTTCAACTACTGCGGCTTGTCAGAATTGATCGTTCAACTACTCCTCCTTTCATAGTCTATCGTAAAAACGTTGTCAAATTATAAATATTGAATTATTTGCGTTATTTTGCACTTCAATCAATTCAAAATTGTTTATATTTTCATGAAAATCACTAATTTGAACTAATAATTACATACTTATATATTAAAAGTACGGTCAAATACGTTTTACTTTGAAACCTGTTCAACTACTGGGTACTTTACTTTAGAAGATCTTAGTCATTTTAGTTAGACAGTAAACATAAATAATTTTGAAAGTTAGGGAACTCTTACGGTGTTGTCAAGTGTATACGGTAATTCAGAGTGCTATATTTTTTATCAGTCAATTAAATGTTAATAATTATTCAATGAGTAAATTTATCGGAAAATCCCTCAAAAATGTTATTAATTAATTCAAAAATTAATTTTAAGATAACCAAAGTATTTCTACGTATTATTCTTTTATAGATATTCTTTACACTAGGAGATACTTGGATCTCCTAAGGGTAAAATTGAATCATTTTTCTTTTCAGAACTACCGATGAACAAAGTTCAAGTCGGCGCAGCACCCTCGCCAAACCTGAAAACAGTCCGTTCAAAAATAGGGTCCCTGGAGAACGCAAGCTACAGACCTGGAGGAGGTAAAATAAAAATTGAGAACAGAAAGCTGGACTTTAGCAACGCCCAGCCGAAAATTGCCGCTAAAAATGATAAATATATGCCGAGTGGAGGCGACAAAAAGGTGAAGAATAATAATCATTATATCGTGTTTTTTATTTCTTTATCGATGCTCTATTTTTTTTTAATGTTTCTTTAACAACGTCGCCAGCTAAGTGGATTACGATTGATAAGATTACTCGGTATTTTTTAACTTGATTCCAGATAACTCAAGTGAAACTACAGTGGAACGCTAAACCAAAAGTCGGATCACTCGATAACGCAACTTACAAGCCCGGCGGCGGTGATAAAAAAATAGAAACTATCAAAGTTGACTTCAAAGACAAAGCCAAGCCGAAAGTCGGCTCCAAAGATAACGCTAAGCACGTTCCAGGTGGCGGGACTGTCAAGGTATAATTTAATTCACGAGGTCGCAATTTTTTTTATGGAAATTTTGAAGTTTTTTATGGCATGGCAGTTTTTGTCAACGAAACCGCTGCCTTTTTAAGAATTTTAGGCTAAAATTTAAATAGAGAACTTGCAAGGGAAATTTTTCTAAAATTTAGTTTTTAGACGCTAGTGACGTCATTAGATTTGTTGAGTAGAGCCACCGCACGGCGGAATTTTAAAATATTTATGCTGGCGTTAGCAGTTTTGAAAAGAAAAATGTACAGGTTGTAATTAATCCTTCATCAGACATATTATAATTATTTAAATGTCTATTCATTTTAAAATAACTGTATAATAAATAATAATTAGTTTTTACTCCCAGATAATAGTTATTTTTGAGGTTAGCTGTTAAACTGAGGTTGTTATTTAAGGTGGTGCTGTCTACAGAAAATACAACGTCTATAACGTCATTTTTATTGGCTCACACCTTTAAAATATATTATTACGTCACAACCAATCATAGTTCCTTTTTTTACACGGCAAAATTATCGAGTTTTTATAAAATAAATTTGTAAAAAAATATAAATTTTCCAGAACAAAAATAAAAAAACCCAATAAATGTTTTCTATAATTAAAAATTAATTTTGAGTAACATTGAATTAATCTAAGTTATCTCAATTAAAGCCATACTTTACTTATTCTCTTAAAAAAAATTTAACCATGTAAAATTTAATAATAAAACCTAAAAATTAAATTTTTTTAGTTAAGGAAGTCCTTTCGCTCCAGTTGAGTCACAACAACTGTAGTAGTCAATATTCAATAAATTAAAATAAAAAACTCATAAAAATTTCTAAAATTAAAAAAAAATAGTTTAATACAAAAATTAATTTGACTCTTGTAAATCAGCTATAAGTAACCTGTCCGTGATTTGGCAATGCTACATATCGGTTGTTTACATTTTCATTTGCACAATATAACCTTAACCATGTTTAAGTTTTTGCAGTCAGTGTAAATAAATAAATTAATTAAAAATGTTTAGTCACAAAACCATAACATTCTAATGTTTCATGGCAAGAATGCTAGTATTTTTTAATTATTGTTTTATTTTTCAATTATGAAATATGAAATTTTGTTAACAATAAATTAATTAATAAGTATGTATGATAAACATGAGTGCGTTAAAGTTTAGTTTGAATTTATTGAATGGTCTGAAGCTCGCGCGCTACGCAACGTTGCCAAATGTTCTGACGCCATTTAAATGTAGGTTACTCAAAAATTTTCTGTGATTTTATAATTTTAATTTCTCCATAAATTCCACGGCAACCTATATATTTTATTGCAAAAAATCAAACCTGAATATTTCGAAAACCTTATTTTGAGTTTTTTTTTACCCCATCTAATCAGTGGTTAATGCCATAATTCGAGAAAGTTGTTAAGGTCTGACTTTCTCGTAAGACTCGGGAAAAATACTAACATTTTTGGAAATTTTTTTTTCAAAAATATCCACGGTG